TGCAGGCACAATTTCCTTGATACCTTCCGCTGGCATTAGTGCTTTCGTTAAATATTCGTTTATTATATTATTAAAAAGTTTAACTTAGATTGGCTTGCCCCCGGTAGAACTCCAACGCTCCAAAAATGCCTGTACATTCATTTTTGTATAATGCGACCTAGATGTTTCTGTTTACTAGAATAAGGTGTTGGTTAAATAAATTGTCGATGACGCAGTCGCGTAGTTCATCCAGGTGGAAATTATGCATTTCAACCGTCTTTTGAGTGCAGGGTGACAGAGTTTTCAAAAATTCTTGAAAATTGAAGTTCCCTTCTCAACATTTTTCTTGACTGGATCAAAGCGGTTAATTAGGTGCGATGACGTCATCGTATTGATGAAATTTTCAAGCAAATATCCGATTATGTTATTCAGTTTCTACAAAAACCTATCAATAACTTTAAATTCTCATTAAACAAACGTTTTCTTCATCAATTCAATCGTTGAATTATCTTCGTTTGTATGGAATGGCAACCGAAAAGGTTTTTTCTACAAATCCCGTAAGTTCAAATATGCGAACACTAAAAAAAAAATAACAGACACTCCAACTGTCAATATCAATGGGACCAATTCCTATAATGGACACAGTTTTTAGCAACAGGTATTCTAAGTCTGGAGCATCGTTTAAAAATTTGTTAATTTTTTCTAGGGTTAATGTTTTTGATTTTTTGCATTTGAAGCCATTTAACTGTGGCTTTAAAAACGATCGCAACTTTTGATAATTTTCAGTATGAATATTTTGCTTGACATTTAGTATGATACTCAACATTGAATAAAAGGACTAAAGTGAAGAAGGTTTGAAATTTTGTGTTAAATTATTAAAGTATCTACGCCAGTAACGTCTTTTGGGAGAAACATTTAACTTTATTTTCCCCGCGCCAATTCATAAACTTTTGGTACACTATTTTGTACCTTGAAATGAGCCAAAGTTGAAGATTTTTCAAGCAACAAACTTACAGTCACATTAGCTGCCCCGTCAGTAATATAACTTGTGGCACACTTAGGTACCTATTTCAATAAATCGAAAACGATAAAACGAAAAATCGTGCGGGTTTGTATGATGGTCGAATTTTTTTTAGAAATGTTTGCCAATATACATACGTTGTCCACAATATTGAAAGGAGTCATTCATGCATACATAGCACGAGCAAAATACCTATCAAGAGATTCTTATTTATTTTGTGACGAAATGTCCACAAAAGAATTGAGGAATAAATTCCCTCTCTCTCCTCCATCTTCATCATCAAAGCTCTAAAATTGTACCAGATTGATTAAAAATACTTTCATAATCTTCAATACTACCTTAGCACTAGAATTTAAATATTGTGGGCTTTCCCCCAATGAAATACTTAGTTGAAGTAGTTGATAATATTGATACAGTATTGCCAGCCCCATTGTCTTTGTCAGAGTTGAATGCATTTCTTATCAACACCGGACATTTTTACACTTATTAACAAGATGTTTTTTCATTCGGAAAGGATTCGCCAAATAGCTTGCCTTGCAAAACTTACAAATGGCTGTATAAGACTTTCCGCCGCGTTTCCCTTTCCCTTTAGTAAAACACTTCCAAATTAGTCCTTCTTTCCTCGGCATTGTCAAATTATTGATTTATGCCTAAAATGAGGAAAAACGCAGATGTTTGGGACAAAACCAAGGGTGATTTGCAACTTACCACTGCTACTTATTAAAACAAAACTTGCGAAAATGCGCAGCGCAACACTCCAGCAGTCAGACACGAAAATATCCCGCTTCACGCACCATGCACACTTAAATTTTAAATGACATCCAAACTTTTGTTAGGAAATTGCAAGGAGTATGGCGCCAAATTTAAAATAAATATCCGACGAGCTATCAATGTAAATAGCCGTGGATAGTGAACCTGATATTAATCCGGACAGTTATAAGAATTAAAATCTATTCTCGACACTACTGGGAACACAACCAGCTTTGTGGATTCCCGCAGGTTGGTAGTACCTACATTTTTCTTTCTGGTAATTAACGAAAAATCTGGTGTGGAACTTTTTTTGGGTCGAATCGCAATATATTTTCTAATTATTATTTCCACTAAATTGTTTTTTTCCTGGAAATATGACAAACGATCTATCTTTCTTAGTTTTTAAATCGACGAGCTTGACAAAAAAAACGTTGGCCGTCAATAAGGAAATTAATTCCTTGCTTCTACAGGCTCCTGCGACGCCAAAAATAAGAATGACCTATAAAATATACCTTCATTTATGCGTCTGGAAAATATTAGCATACATACTTTGTTTAACAAAAAATGGTATTCGTCCTGAGCGTTCAATAATACAGAATCCACATTTTCATTGGTTAAAATCAACGATTTTTTTGGCGTATACCCTTCTCGTTTTCTTTTCAGATATAGGATAACACTGGGGAATTTGATAATGTCTACGCTTTCCTGTAAGTTAATCGTGATACACAACATTGAATACTTGCTCCATAAGCTTGATGCCTTATACAACGCGAAATCTTTATTAAAGCATCTTCATAAGTTTTCTTCATTTGTTTCTTCAAACACCACCTCTTATATGCATTATAGGTCTCTTCGTAGGGGATAGATGGGCAAGAGTACTCACTTAGTGTTAATTAGTCATCACAGCAAAGCTGCTTTGGTATAAAAATTAAAAGTAACATTATCTTCAGGAAGTCAGAACTAATTTTATCAGCAAAATATTTTTCAGTGCAATTATAGCCACGATTTTAGTTGCAAACTATTAAATTTCTAAACACTGTATTTGCGTACTCTGACACTACTAATACTACAAGAGTACGCATCAACCAGTTCAATAGTACGCGGCCAATCAAATCAAATGATAACGAATTACAAAGCCAGTAAAAGTAATTTGTTTTATTTAAAAACTTTTATTATAAAACCTAACTTCAAAGAACAATAAAAAATAAGAGTAATTCTTTATCTTAACATTATCTAAATTTTGGCATTTTGGTAGATTTAGTTTTGTTCGATCGCTTAGCGTATCCATCTAATGATGATCTTGCTGATGCAAAGTGCCAAAGAATACTGCCTAATATTGTGATAATTTAATCCTAAAACACTAAGGAAAACTTGCGGAATTACCAGAATCTATGCAAATTGCTTTGTCAGCTACCGACAAAACGATATTTCTGCATTTACACGACACAAAACTATTAGAAAAAGCCGCCGGGAAAAAGACATACCTAACTGAAGTTGTTACCTTATTCTGCACTTTCTTTTTTCGTTAACCGAAAATACCTTTAGTTAACATCTTTTGCCTTTCCAACAAAATTGTATATGCTTCTACATGTCATGATAAACCCTTTTGATACGCACCCATCTTGTAATATTATAATTAAAAATTATAATAATAAAGTTATAAGTTTCTGCTACGTTTCTTTTTTCAATATTTTAAAACATAATCCCTTTTGTTTAGAAAATACTCGTAAATCTTTGTTTTTTAAAATAAAAATATATCCTTATGCTAGAACATGGAATTAAAAAATTTGCATTAAAACGATGTAAATAACTTATTTATAATAAAAAAATGGAGGTATGCTTTTTTGCCTTTCAGCCACAAAAATATCAAAGATAGTTTTGATTTTTAAATTGAATTTCTGCTTACGTTTTGAATTTTTTATGAGTGAAGATTCTCATAAATAACTCTGTATTTATAGTAAAATTTAATCAGATTTGTACTGTTAGTTCTTGGTACCAAAAGTTGAAATATAAGTCTTACTAGTACTACCAGAGCTTTGTGGTATATCAATAGAATAAGAATCATCACTTTTATCAAATCTAAACTTTTTATTAATTACAAATAGAAGTAGACGGTGATCTTAATATTCGTGTCGCCGTTTCTATCTTGCTGTCTGTCAACCTAACTTTCGGCCACTCTTTTTGATCAGTATTATTTTCTTGTAGTATATAATATTCAACACAAGCCCCAGAAATAGCAAAAATTAAAGCAACGTATAATAATGTCAAGGTTTAGAGTAAACTGTTCAAATGATAACTAACTGATGTCCTTTGTTATTAGAGATTTATGATGTTGATAAAGTTTCAAAATTTTTGGTTTATATCCAATTGTTCCTTGCTTGAAAAGTCCAATTAATTCAATATGTTTGAAAATATCGATGTTTTCCTTTAGGGGTAATATTGCTTTCACCGCGCTATAAATAGACCAAAGGCTTGTTGTTTCACATTATTTCTTTTTCATTGAAAAATGCTAGCAAAACATTTTTTAAATACCTTGTAATATCTCTAGATTGACACGAATTAATAAACAGTCTATAACGTAAGTCGTCTCAACTTTGCTGTTAACAAGTTGCACGTGCAAAAAATCGTATTGTATTTAACGTTTTGTCCAACTCGTCCTACGGCCTCGTTGCACAATCTTAACGTTGCGTACAATAAACAGCACTCGAGCTTTTGAAAACATCTATAAGCATTTCATTACTGAACAAAGCACAAACATGTTACTCATTCTTGTGTCGAGATATGCCAAAATGACGTCTTCCGTCACAACGGTCTTTTTAGCCTTCCATTGTTTAAAAGTGAGGTATACTTCTCATAAGCATGATTTTACAAGCAACAGTTTTTCCCGCAGTTCGTTGCCTTTTTCTAATGCTTCGTGTGAAATGTTTTCACACATTTTAACGATTCTTTTATGTTTTATTGAATTTTAACTGTAGCACTCCAACATTCTTTCCACCCAATAACACCGGATAAAAAATCTTCAAAAGCATTATTTTAGAAACGTTTATGATATTCTATTAATGTTAGAAAAACTCTTGGAGATAACGCGTGTTTTACAGTTTGAATCTCTGTCTTTAGTTTACTGCGAACTATCTTTTTAAACTGCCTATTATAACACTATAATTGTAGTAGTAATTAGTAATTTCACCGGTGTTCCCCTTAACATTTTCAATAATATATTTCGTTATATAAGGTTTACAATATTATTTAGAGTTCTCAGGTCCCAGAAAAGTGAAGATGCTGAAGCATTGGAAAAGGATGATAATTTGGGTCCCGTTAACAGTGTTCGGCATAAGATAGTTGTGATGGGTGCAGCTAAAGTTGGCAAGTCTTCCATTATAACGCAGTTCCTATACGGAACATTCTCTTCAAAATACAAACGCACAGTGGAAGAGATGCATCATGGTGATTTTAATGTCTCTGGTGTTCATTTGACATTAGATATATTAGACACTGCGGGATCCTACGAATTCCCTGCTATGCGAGCACTGTCAATCTCATCTGCGGATGCATTTGTGCTTGTATATGACGTCACCAACAGTTCTACATTCGAAGAAGCTAGGGCCTTGAGAGATCAAATTCATGAAACTAAGGCTACGTCTAATGTGCCTATTGTTGTTGTCGGAAATAAAATCGATTTGGCAGGAAATAGAGAGGTAAGAGTCTGTGTGGAGCCTCAAATGTACGTAGGCATGTACTTATGTATGTCACTAAATGTTGCGTCTGTATATTGCCAAAACTTGAAACGAATTTAATTTTATAAAATTATTATTAGAGTGAAATATTTAATTGTTTTCATTTAGTTGTACAAAGGTAACTTTATAACTGTAAAAATACTGCCCACCTGTTGTATACTTTTAAACCTCACTCTATACATAAAGTTCAGAAAAACTTCCGAATGTGTTCAGAATGTTTAAAGCAGTATTACAATCTACGAAATACTCGTATACTTAAAGGTGTTCTACTACTGAGTTATTTACAGAATGGTCCAACAGTTCTTAATGAAATTTTCTAACAACGCGAAATAGGTTACGAGACCAACAAATAATATTCTTCGTTAATACTTCTACTTGTTCTTCTAACCTTTCTTAGGCATATGTGTACTGTAGTCTTTGATATTCCATGCATTGATACTGACAAGGGTCCCAAAACCAATGAAGGACTACTTGAATTTGCTGTGGCGGAGATAGAGCATGGTTCCTTTCTGTTTCGTGTACAAGGAAGGGCAAGATGTACTAATTCTTCGAATTTTAGAGAACTTAATCTAAATCTTTCATTGCATTCAAAAATTGTTACAGAATTGAAGTTAATTCGGGGTTTAAAATGTCGTGATCGACTTCGAGCTCGCTGAATATGAACTTGTTCATTTTCGTCACTTTCTGAGGTATCTGCTAATACAAAATCCATGATTTTTTTTAATAATCACAAATTTTGAGCAAGGTCTTTTGACTTGTCGTTTTTTGCAATGAATATTTATAAATCGACAGGCATCCAGTGCCCACTAATTGCTTTATGAAACACTTTACTAATCATTTGCTCATATCAATGTTTTTCATTATTAATATCGTCGATTTAAGCATGAAATAAGTGCTCCATAGGGTCGAAGATTTATAATTATGTTTTGTTTTCTCCGCAAAGAAAGCCAAATGAACGTCTTCATTAATCCCATTAACCTTCTTCGCCTTACACCAATCTTCAAAACCTTGGTAAACCCTGTTATATCTAATTTTTGATTTTTTTGGCAGCAGGTCCGCCATGGCCTCTGCTGCCGCTTCTTCAATAGCTAAAGGAACTTCGTCGCAAATATTTCCTTTGCAAGACATTGCAAAAAACTTGGGCACAAAAAATTCAACAATGACGGTTTTTGTATAATTACAATTTTTTTCTGCGACCTTAGAAACCAGCGAAATGCATTACTAGATATTTATAGAAAAACAGATTTTTAATAATTAATAAATTCAAAATTAATTTTTATTATATTTATAGTCAACGATTTCATAAAAAAATAACACATAACTCGTCACTAAAATGTCCGTACTTGATTCGGAGCCTTAAAATTCTCAACACGGAAGTGCCTCGTATTTCAATAGGACTCCTCGACAGTAGTGACCCATTTTCCTTACTTTTATGTAAATAACTATTGTGGAATAATAAAATCGACGAATCCTTAATGTTTTCAAGAGTCATAACAAATGTATTGTGCCGGTCTTCCACTTGAATTATTACACCGGTACTTCTCATAGAAATCCAGACCCACATATTTACAGAAAAGCGACCACTGTTGTTAGTATTTTGCAAAGTATTTTTCCTCGAATCTAGAATTTCTTGGACGGTAAACTGTAATGTGACCATTTCTAGATGTTTTGAAAACTTTTTCATCAGAAGAAATTACACTTGACCAAAATGTCTCATCTTTCAATAAATGCTAGAAGTAAATTTACCTTAAGCGCAAAAAATTTTTCGTCTGGTGCTTCAAGTAAAAACTTTCTAAATTCTTCTTTGGTAAAAACACTGGCCTTTTTCGGTCGATATCCCCTATTTTTTGTCCTTTAAAAAAACAATTAACGTAAAAAACTTCGATATATCAATAGAGTCGTGAAGAAAAATTGTCAACTTTAACATCGAGTATTCAGCTCATAAACGTCCTGGAGTTTTCAGTATTTCATTTCTTCTTACAAGGTACGCCAGCACTTTTTCCAAATAGTTGTACTTTTTCTCTTGCACCAGTCTTTGAAACTTCGATATGTTTTCGTAGCGGTCTCTCTATTTGGCCGGAATGAGAGTAGAACATCCCACATTCCAAGCTTCTCCGATTTCGCTTTCATATTCACTAAATTCACTCATTTTCACTAGTTTTAATTAAATGTTAATTGTAAAATTTTACAAAAAACTGTAATGGCTGCATTTATTTATAAATTGCTATAGTAACGTAATATGGATATGGAAACTTGCACAGATATCTATGTTTATCTCTCTATGAATTCAATCGCGCAAAAAACGTCATAACTCGTAAGCATCACGAACGTCAATAATTGGACTCGACGCTCCGCTCCTCTCCAAACAATTGTCTTCGATCGGTAAAATGTCCTTACCGTTCTTGATACTTAATATACTATTACATTTGTCAAGAGCAGAAGGTGCGATATTTTTGACAAGAGAAAAAAATCTTTCAAAATGTCATATTGACGCAAATGCTTCGTTCAGAGCTAGTTTTTTTTTTGAAGTGACAAAAATAACGACCAAAGACTTTTGACCGTAATAGTACTATCTTCAATATAACCTGAATCGACTGTATCCATTTTCCGTGTCTTTTTACAGTCAGAAGAGTTGCGGATGTACGGCGCGTGCTTTAAACATACATTTTTCACATATCATAATTATTTTTTGGGCAACCGTCCTCGAAGCGACCATTTCGTATACGCCACATGATCCGCGAAATCGAATTTCGCAGCCGTTACTATATGTATGTCACTCGCATTTTTCGCCAGATGAATCAGAGTGGAACAGTTTTTGGAAATTATGTATTATTAAATAAACAACAACAACTATATTTTTCCAATTGTAAAGGTTAAAATTGTGTTTTAATCATTGTTTAGTAACTATGAAAGTTAACCTTTATTCATTCAATAATGAAAATTTGTTGATCACAAGTGAGGCAAAAATTTTAATCACTGGTCAAATTTCAAATTTTTATACAATGCAAATGACGATTCTGTGCTAATAAAAACATATTTATTCACAATTAATATTAACCGTAGAACAAGAATTAAATATAAAAACACGGTCTGAATTATTATTTGAAGACGGCAACTCCATCGTGTTTTCCAACGAGGCATCTGCCAAGGAAGGCACAAATTTTATAAAAGATGACTTGTTCGCAGAGCTTGAAGAGGTTGTTTCTTCTTAATCGTTTTTACTGGCAACCGTAGGGGCAGCTGATGTTGAAAGCATTAAACATTGTTCCCCACGGTTGATTTCTTTAGCTGCATCTAGCTTTAAACAAAGAGAATCCTCCAGATAGCCTTGGGCAACCGTTGCTGAACGCCATCCTCCATGCCGCATTAAAGTCAGCTGGTCTGTTCCACCATCGACCAACAACGTGGCCGAAGTCCTCCTAAAGCAATGGCCCGTGTGGTTCAAATAAATTTAGATATTGAGTAATGGTTGAGGGAATTTTACCAAACGTATTAAAATTTCCGTAACTGATATTTTTTGGTCTTAGCTTTGAATATTTTTTGCAAATTTGAACGTGACTATCAGTTGACACAACGAAACTTCTTGCTTTCCATGTCTTTGTTATGGGAATTTTCACGAATAAAATGTCACCTTTTTCTTCAGCATCATCTACAGTAAGACGGTAGAGCTCACCACACCCACAGGCACCTGCTACTCCCGTAGCCATAACAACTTTATGCAATAAATTTGTTTATCTGGTGCTTCTTTAAAAAACTTTTCAATGACTTCTCCCAAAAATGTTTTGGATTTTTTTGCCACATAACCCTCAGACTGTTTCTTTGTAAAGGCTTTCAACTTTAAGAACCTAAAAAAACATCTTTTAAGGAGAATAATATTGTAGATCGTTTACAAACCTGCTAATGTGTATATATTTTTTAATCATTAGAGTCTTTTTCAACATCGAATATTGGGACCATAATGACCTCGATTTGACACTTCGACTTTTTCGAAAAAATATGCGATCATTACATTCTCAGAAACACCAGTAACTTTCTTTTCCTTTTTCCATTTGAGGAAACTGTCGTACTCCTTGTTGTATCTTTCAGCTGATTTTGTAGGCAGCAGCTGTCCAATTGCTGTCCGTGCTTCTTGTTCCACATCCGGGGGTGTTTCAATTATTTCCTCTCTCAGTTCTTCCATGATTTCTTCCGAAACAGCACCACAAACATCACTTTTATAAATTTGCGATAAATTGTTGATTTTATTTTTACGCGTTACTAAAGATACTCGTACTTATCAGCTCTGCCAACTACCTTTGTGCATTCCAGTATTCCACAAATTAAATTTTTAAACAATGTTGCTTTTTTAATTTTATCTGTTACAACGTTACAATTGGAAAAAACAGTATACTTCACTCATGAGGGAGCGACTTTTAATCATTCGTAGACACTTACCTCATTCGCCTTCGGCTCATGAGTTAAACTGTGTCCACTCATGATTAAAATTCATAATCCCTCACTAGTTGAGTAATATACTATTTTACAAATCTTTACAATAAATATTAATATTAATGGTGCATTTGGTATTCTCAGTCACATCTATTCCAGAAGCAATAAAATCTAAAGGGTTAGAAAAATTGTAATTTGACACTGTAACGCTATTTTCGTTTCATTGCAACTGAAACGGACAGGTTCCCTTGGCCCTTGATTTAAATCACGCTGTGATATACGAGTAGTACCTGAAATTGAATTTGCAATTTTGTTTTTATTTTCTATGGTCTTCGACATACGATTCTGCAACGGTGGTAGATTTCCACCCACCGTGGCGTTTAAAAACTGATATGCTAGCACCGCTGTTAGCAAGGAGGCTAGCAGAGCTTCTCCTAAAACAATAGCCTGTGTAGTACTCCTTACAGTTCGGCAATTCCATGTAATTTGCTATCAAACTCGGTATTTTTCCCATGGTATGTATTCCAACAAGT